GGTCCCTGCTCAGGAAAATGGAAGCAAAGAAGTCATTAAATAAGTTAGCTTTGTCATCTGACAACCAGATTTCCTAACATGTCTTGCAGGGCCCCACGTTACCCAGAACCTTTTTTTGCCCCCTATGTATTTAAAAAAGGACTTCTTGTTGTCTTTGATCCGGGTAGCTAGTCCCAGTTCCATCTCCGCCTTGGCCTTCCTGACCGCCCCCCTGCATCCCCGAGCAACTGCAGTATAGTCATCCCTGGTGATGGCCCCTCCCTTCCATTGGGCCTCCCTTTTAGCTAGGAGACATTCCTGGATGTTTTTGGTGAGCCATGGGGTCTTTTGTGCCCTCCTGCTCCCTTTGATCCATGTTGGGATTACCTCCCTTTGGGCTTGGAGGATCATCTCCTTAAGGTGCGACCACTCCTCTTGCACACCTGACTCCCCTCCCTTCTGGGACCTCAGTTCCCCCCCAACTATTCTCCTTAGCTCATTGAAGTCTGCCCTCCTGAAATCTAGGGCTGCTGCCTTGCTGCAGACTCGATGATCTTCTGAGGTTCCTTCCAGCCCTAATATCTATGAAATCTATGAAATCAACAGATTTAGGAGAGCTTCTGAGAAAATTGACATTTAGCATACTGGACTGTAGTCTATAACCAATTCCTTATTTTACTTCCCTACATGAACACACAGGGCAGGCCACTGGCCTTGAATTTTGGTTCAGGGAAACCACGGCTGTTGTAGTCACACTCTGAAGGTGAACAAGTCATGACCATGATTCCACTCTACCTTCTTTTTTTTCTGTGGGAAAAGCAATACTCCCAGACACACTACCAGAGAACTCCCTTTGCTCTGAAGAATTGCACACTGGCCAGAAAAAAAAGAGTGGGATTCTGTCACTCTTTTCTCTCACTTTTATCATTGCTGAACACTTCCCTTGAATTAGAAATACCATGGAAATAAAGGAAGAAGCTATAATGCTCCGACCTTTCACTCAATGACAGATTGTCATTTCTGTAAATATGGTTTGATTTTCTCACAAAAGACTTCTTCACACATGCTGCAAATATGTATGAGCTCCATTCTCCAACTCATTCAGTGAGCAATTTTTGAATGGTAGCATGGTCAGTGTAAATATGTAGGCCCTCACAATATAGTTGTAGTGAAAATTTACTTTGTGTGTCTACCCAACTGCAATGTCACAGGTATATATTTGTACTGGAAAAAAATTAAATCTAATTTGTTGCACAGTTCATGAGGCTCAACCAGTTTTTTTCTTCTTGTGTAGTCAAACTCCTGAACAGTATTTCACAGCAGCAATTACTGAACCTTTTGATAAGGAGTGGGTATTAGGCAATAAATGTTTTACACTGTCAGTGAAATTTGACCAACCTTAATCATACTGGGTACGTCTATACTTTCCCTGATGTACCATAGTTACTGCGTAGTAAGTTTAGCACTTGCATGACCAAGTACTAAATCAGTGCTCAGTAACTAGTGCTACTATGCAGTAGTTCCAGTGCACAGCTTGGTAGTGATACTAACTGCACAGTCGCCTAATAATACTGCACAATAGCATATTAGCATAGGTTTTGCTCAGCACGCTACTGTGCCGTCTTATTAGGTTACTGCGCAGTTATCGTCTCATGTAGAGGCACCCACTGAGTAGTACAAGTGTCCCCAGTAGTAACAATATTCTGTTATGTAACATTCCAAAGAACTTCTTTACTTACAATAATTTAATATAAATAATGCAGGAAATGGAACAGATGTTCAGATGCTATAAACCTCTTCAAAACTGAACCTATGCCAAACTGTCTTAATGATTTAAACAAATATAAGCCTACAATATTTTTGCCATTTAAATGATCTAATAATAAAATTGAGTAGCTGGTGAATTCCTTTATTCTTTAGATTAATTACTTTTTTAAAGTTATTTTTCCTTCTTTTCTTAGTCAAAGGCATAAAAATATACTACAATGAAGTCACATCACTTTGCTCAAATGTCCTGTTTTGACATCTTTACAAGCCAATTACCAGAGCTTTCTTGCTTATTTAAACTATGTTCTGGACAATAGTCTCATTTTTAGTGGAGCCTGGTTCATCCCAGAACCAAAGAAAAAAAACGTAGTTTTGTAAAGAAGAGGCAGAAACAACATTTTACACTTCTAAATTGTTAATTCTGTCAATGTTATTGGAAAGTGATGGAATGGAAGTCAAGTCAAATGTATAATCCTTTTCTCATTTTATTCTTGGGAAAACTGTGAGCAAAAGTTGTTATAGTACTATCATCAATGTGTGACTGACAGCATTGTCTTTAATGGAGAAAACAATTTTTATAGCCAATGTTGGATTAAGGCATAGGTACTATGGTCCGAGGGCCTAGTTCTTGGTGTTACATGATGAGATCTTAGTTTTTGTTTTTATACATGTTTCTAGCCTTGAGGACTGTGAATAAAAATATTTGAAAAAATTGACCTGCATCTTCTCAAAGTCATATAAGAAACCCGTGGCAAAGCAGGAGATTTTCCCAGGGTCTCCCAGATACATGTGCCATCACCACTAAACTGTATTTCAGCTGTGAATCAGAGCCCTTTTCCTCAGGAACAGAATCTATTTAATCTGAAGATAGGAAGGTAGGGATTACTGCAAATCGCAAAAGATAAACATAAGAACCCTGGAAACTTAGTTTTTTGTGCTGTTTTATCTTCCAGTTCTAACACAAGGAGTGAGACAGCAACATGATAGAGGTAAAGTTCCAGTTCTCTCTCTGAAATATAGTACAACCATTATAACAACCCTGCATATATATGTATGTTGCTCTCCCACTCCTTGTGTTAGAACTGGAAGATAAAATAGCACAAAAAACCTAAGCTTCCATGGTTCTTATGCTTATCTTCTATATAATAATAATCTTACATATATACAATAATGAAAAAAAATCCTTCTGTTGGGATTGTTAAAAGTGTATGTATACACACACGGACACACACTTTTAACAATCCCAGCAGAAGGATTTTTTCCCCATTATTATGGTGCAGCAAATTGACTAAACTTTTTATAACAAACATCCTCTTTTGAGGACCTTGTCTTCCAACCCCATGGGAGTTCCTTATAGTGAGGGTGCACTGAGTATCTAAAGAATAACATTGTCTTCATAGAGCCCTAGTTATGATTTTTCCTGAAATGGGTTTTTACTATTACCTATCGTATCATTACTAATCAGTTACAAATAAGAACAGGCAATATGATCAGGGATTTGGTAGGTGTGTTGGCCTGAGACAAAAAGAAACGCAAAACTCTAGAACTCTTGGTTCAGAGATGATACCTTTTATTAGACCAAATAAGAAATTGCATAATGTTCTTTTGTGATTTCTTAGTTGGTCTAATAAAATCTCTAAATCAAGAGTTCTAGAGTTTTGCATTTCTTTTCAGGTAATATGATGGCATTACACTAAGTGGTTCTTTTGTTATCTCAAGCTAGGCAGGAAAATAAAACAAAAAAACCAAAACCTCTTTCCTTCCCTGATAAAACTTTTCCTGTTCTGTCTTTCGTTTAGGACTACAGAGTGAACATCTTTCTCCGACAGAGCTGGAATGATCCACGTCTTGCATATAGTGAATATCCAGATGACTCCTTGGACTTAGATCCCTCAATGTTGGATTCGATTTGGAAACCTGATTTGTTCTTTGCTAACGAAAAAGGTGCCAACTTTCATGAAGTTACAACAGACAACAAGTTATTACGAATTTTCAAAAATGGAAATGTTCTTTATTCTATCAGGTAAGTCTCTAATTAATATTTTTTAAAGGTTTTTAATGTGCTTATAAGAGACATGAAAACTTGGAACCTGCAGTTGTTACTCATGTAGAACTCCAAGTAAAAGTGCACTTTAATTGCTTAAGGTTCTCATCATTATTAATTATTACTAGTATTAGTATTACCATAGCAGCTACTTAACCCAAAAGTAATCAGGACATATCATCCTATGCATAATATATGCTTATACTTAGTGTGAGAGAAAAGAAGCATTGTAAGCTCTATCTTAAAGGTGGGAAATTGAGACAAAGAATTATAACTTGCCTATAGCATACCAGAAGGTTTCTGCAGAACTAGGAATGAAACCCAAATCTCATAAGCAGTATTGTTTGATAATGTCCATGAGACTTTTCAAGTTTTACCCTTAATTCAACCCACGCCCACAAATGATCAGGAGACCTGTACACAAGGGGTCAGGAGACCAGGAATTATGCTGTTAATATAATCCTACCCTAACAAAAATTTACCCTATAACTAAGTCCAACAGTCAGTCCTGCCTCATCTCTTGGGACTCCTCACAGATAAACCTTACCCATGATGCTTTTAAACTAACCATTAACAGAACCACTCTTCTGAAGTTCCAGCTGGGGTTCTATGCTGTACCCTCACATGTATGTAAAGACTAAACGGCCACTCCTCTTCAAAGCCTACCAGGTAGTAAAGGGTATATCAGGCTTAAGCTTATAAAAATGCCAGGTTGTCGCTGCTGTACATAAATGATATGTTGTAGCTGCTCTTAAATACAAACAGGTGTAATACATCATAACAGCATGCCACAGACCAGGGGTGGCCAAACTGCAGCATGGGTGCCATAAGTGGCACAGGCAGCCTCTGAGCATGGCACATGAGAGACCACAGAAGGGACAGGCAGCACAGCAGATAGGGCAGGAAGCAGAAAGCAAAACAGTAAATTGAGTAGGTAGCACAGGGAACCAGAAAGCAGAGCAGTGGATTGGGAACAGGAAGGGGTTTGGACTAGCAATGCACTTGCTCAGGGTTAAATTGTGGTCTGCCAGATTTACACAGGTGTGTCTATATGTGCTATCTACACATAAAATACTGTGCAGTAAGCTTTCCCTGGGACCGTGTCTACATGTGCACTCCACGATTGGAGCAGGGGCCCAACAGCAGGCAGCCACCAGGGCAGGGGATATCCTAGCCTAGGGGTGGGCAAAACGGCAGATCCAGCCAGCAGCCAGACTCCATTTCTCAGCAGCTCCAGTCTGCATGGCTGGAGCTGGTCTCCATGGAGACCCCAGTTCCACTGTCATAGCATAAGCCTGGGGTTGCCATGGAGATTGGCCACAGCTGTCATAGCAGGACATGTGGCAGAGCAGGACAGGGGGCTGTTTCAGAGCCACTGGGATCTTGTGGCGAGGGGCAGCTTGGTCCAGGGCCAGGGTACTGCTGTGATCTGCTGCCTGCATGCTTCAGGCAGGGGCATGCAGGCAGCAGATTGTGGCTCTGCTCTGGC